CATCGAGAGAGAGAGAATGTGGAAGAGAGAGAGAGAGAGAGAGAGAGAGAGAGAGAGAGAGAGAGAGAGAGAGAGAGAGAGAGAGAGAGAGAGAGAGCGAACGATAGAGAGAGCGCGCGCGCACGAGAGCACAAACTCAGAATCAGCTCTGTTCTTCAGAGAGAGAGAGAGAGAGAGAGAGAGAGAGAGATAGAGAGTGAGACAGGCAGACAGACAGACAGACAGACAGACAGAGTAACAGCACAGTTCTGCTACCTGTACGGAGGACTGTAGTTGCTGCGCCGTCTCTGGATCCGTGCGTTTCAGATGCTTGAAATGGTTGACCGAGTGCGTGCGATCCTTCTCCTCGGCTCGCATGTACTTCTGAAGTGCCTTCAGTATCTTGTGCGCCTACAACACGCCAAACAAACAAACGTGAGACTGTGAGACCTCCAGTGCACGATTTACGTCCCTGCAATACGGTATCTGTGACCACGCACGCGCGACCAGCGGGGTATGTGCGACCATGCACATGGGTATGAAGGTCACTCATGTATGAATCCTGGCATGTATCACTTTGTGACCAGCCAGGCATGTGGATTATGAAACCCAGCTTATCTCACTATGAGAGCAGGCAGGTGTGATCTTGAAACCAAACTTGTCTCACTATTACACCAGGCAGGTGTCATCATGAAGCCTAGCTTTGGTGTCATTAGGAATCTTGGCATGTCTCACTATGACACTAGACAGGTGTAACCAGTGACCATTAATTAACCAGTCAAAAGCATCACATACTACATAAAATCTAGCCAAAAACACATCAAGCTGCCAACTGTCTACTCCTACTACACGTCAAACTGCTAGCATCACCGCTCAACGACCCAGCAGAGGACGAGGATGACGAGGTTACCTGGGGCGGTATCTGCACCAGCGCCTGTCGGTAGGTTTCCATGGCGACGCGCTTGTTGTCGTTGATGCGCGCCTCGACGCGCTGCTGATGCACGGCAACGACCTGCCGCTTCTCCGCCTGACCCTCGTCCTCTAACGCCTCCACCGTCTTCTGGAACCTCTGCAGCGAGGAAACGCCAGGATCTACCGTTAGCCTACGATCTCACGCAAACGTAAACTAATGTAGTGTCACTTTCAATAGGTGGATAGTGAGAGGGGAGCGTTGGGCGCGGGGGGGTGATGGATCCATTTCCAGTTTCCCAAGCAAAAATATGCAATTTCTCAGTGTTTAGGTAAATTAACTCGATTTAAATAAATTGACATAAACTTTACCTGTTCTCCTTTGGCTAGTAAGTACAATTGATTCGCATTATACATCAATTTCTAACACAGAGAATATTTGGCTGAACTTAAAGGGTAAAATAAAGTTATATATAAAAGCTTACGGTCGTCATTTCTTTCTTGAACGTCTCGGCCGCATTAGGGTCGTTCTTCTTCATATCCTGGTAACGATCTTCAAGCTCGGCCCATTCCTTCATCACCTAACCAACGATTATCAAAAATAAACATTTAGATCCATGAGATTTTATAAACAGTTATGACAGTCATGAGTCTAAAATGCAATAACTTTTGCAGCAAAGTGTCCTACAAAACCTGCAACATTTTGTACTCATGACAATCGTAGCTACATATAATGCTTCTGACATTGGGCTACAGAAAAATATTTACCATGATATGACTTTAAATAATGGGACATCTGTGCATTTGTTGAATTTTAACTAAAATCTTTAATAACTCTTTGATTTCTCTTCCCACAAACGCAGACATGGAGTACGCAGATGCGATAGCTGTGCACGCTCGCTCACCTTGGTGACCTTTGACCTGTGCTTCTCCTCGACGCGCTGCAGTGCAGCACGGAATTCCTCGTGCTCCTCCTCCTGACTGACGTGGAAGAAGTAGCGGTCAGTGTCTCGCACGCCGGGACTCGCAGACGTCGGTACGGCTGCACGCGGGGGAGAGGGAGAGAGAGAGAGAGAGAGAGAGAGAGAAAGAGAGGTGATTAAAGTGATTACGTCACTGTAAATAGTAAAAGTAAAAAAAATATTTCCACTTTTTCACAAAATGTAAGTAATTCTGTTCACTTTTTATGGTTAAATTACTGCATTATACTTCCTATTTTACTATATTGTTCGATGTAAACATACACTAGTGACTCATACATAACAAGCAATTAATATCAGGATCATAATATCAAATCGTCCAGGTTTTTTGGCTTTTTAACTAGTTGAGAAACAATCTTATCAGGTAAGAATTTGGTATATTTAGTCCTGTTAGTACTTTTAATGTAAAAAAATGGCAACAAATTTTTTTAAAATATACACCAGAAAATTCGTGAGGTAGTCAATTTAAATTAGTAAATTAGTCAATTTACGCACGGCATTAGCAGTGTAGAGTCGCAGAGTTTAATACCCTCTTTACACTATAGAGTCTGTGGTACACCCCACAGACTCTGATACCCTGTTTACACCATAGAATCTCTGTTGCACCGCAGAGTCTGATATGTGTAATATTATTACGAACCAGGATATTACAAGAACGATCACGAGAAATAAACCATGCAACTAAAAATTTGAAACCGTCTGATGGGAGGGATTTAACCCATTCAGATGATCTCACACCAGCATTGATACAACAAGAAATCTAAGCAGGTTTAAACATGTCTAACAGAGTGCGAAATCAGCACGAAATCGAATAACTGCACGTCTAACGTGACATCTGCACACCAGTAGCAGCGACGGCGTCACACGCCAGACGCCTCGCGACGCGAAACATCGAATATAACAACGAATATAACAACGAATATAACAACGAATATAACAACGAATATAACAACGAATATAACAACGAATATAACAACGAATAACGAATATAATAACGAATATACTAACGAATCTAATAACGAATATTATAGTAACGAATAACGAATATAATAACGAAACTAATAACGAATATAATAACAAAACTAATAACGAATATGATAACGAAACTAATAACGAATATAATAACAAAACTAATAACGAATATAATAACGAAACTAATAACGAATATAATAACAAAACTAATAACGAATATAATAACGAAACTAATAACGAATA